ATCTTTATCCAGTTTATAGATATTATTTAAAAACTCATCATAAAGTGCTCGTTGTCTTAGTTTTTCAGCTTGTTCCAAATCAAACTGTCTTGTTTTTTCAGCTTCTCGTTTTTGCTGTTGAGATCCAATTGAAGTGTAAATAGCCAGCGCTATGGGTATCGCAGCTGAACATAGAATAGTTAATAAATCTTTAAGTGTCACATGCCAAAACACTCGTTTGTTTAAATCTACTGTTAGAGTGAACAGTATTGTGACGTGTTCGAATATAAAGAAAACACAAATGCTATGCTAATAACTAATCTTTCTGCCTTTTGCCGTTTCTTTGTTATTTAACAAGATATTAAATAACAATTTTAATTACATGTTCAAAATTGAATGTTACAAAAAAAATAAATGAATAGGTAAGTATTCATCACAAACACAAAAATAATTAGAAAAAAAAGTTTCTTGTTACTTTTAGTATACTGAATGTTGAATTTGATATAGGATAGCAGGAATATATAAATATCGATAAATGAAGCTCGGTAGAGACGATGAAAGAAGAAAACTGATAATGTTGATCTAAATATCGGAGATTTCTTCATTTGCCTAAATACAATACAAAATCAAAGAAGATTAATTAAGTCTCAGAAATAATGGAAAACATATTTTGATAGTAAACTGTGAAATGATCTGATCATACCCATTTCTTTATTCCACATAGACGGTTCCGAATATATTTTTTAGATGAAAACTTTTGAGCAAGGCGGAGCGAAGCAGAGTAGAACGGTAGGGAGAATGGTGTGTTTGTAGAAAAAAAAATAAGCTATAAAATGCTTCTGTCTAATTCATTCTCTGTCACTTCCTACCTCACAGAAAAAAATCATTTGGTTTTTTCCTCGAAATTGGATGGTTCTGTTTTTTTATAAGTGTTAATTGATGTAAATTGTTCTCTTTCTTTTTACAATATTGCGACAAATTAATAGAAAATATCATTCATCATTTTGATTATGTCAATATAACTATTTTTTATTGGAGGAGTGTTTACATATAATTAAATTAGAAGTCAAATGAAAACAAAAAGAGAAAAATATATTTGAATCGTTCGAATTAATCAGAATCGTATAAAAGATGGCCCGTGAAAAATCACCGAAAATATTCAACTTTAACATGTCTTTAGTGTTTTGAGTAGTTAATCAATTGTTCATATTTTCATGTATTGATTAGTTTTTTCACACGACGAATATTTTCTTCTACAGTTAATACATGCTGATGCTTGGGTGTCAATATTTTTGAGTAGATTTCACGAGCTTTGCTATAATATTCTAAAGCTTTTATATAATCTCCACTTAAGTGATATGTTGCGCCTATATTTGCATAAGTTATTCCAAAGTTTTCATGATTTCCTGGTAGACGTTCGTAATCTAATTCAAGTCCTTTCTCATGATATACAATGGCTTGTGGAAAGTCTTTCTTCTGCATGTAAATATTAGCCATAATAGCATAAACATTTGTCAATTGAGGAGCATTTAATGGAACAAGAATGTCAAACGCTTTTTGTTCGTAGGAAAGAGCTTGATCGAGATCGTTTTTAAATAAGTAAACTTCACCAAGAAATGTATATGCAGTTCCAATCTCTTCCTGATTGTCGTCACATGTATTCAACAATTCCAATTGTTTCTCAAAATATTCTATAGCCTCATCATATGTATGGAGTGCTTGCGCAACCATAGCAAGACCACGATAGCACCTAGCTCGATCAAGATCGCCAAGAGATGGATCGAGCAGCAATTGTTGAAAATATAGTCTCGCTCTTTCATAATCTCCTTGTCGTTGCAATAAATTTCCTAGTGATGTAATTCCTTCGTCAGTCTCATTTTTCAAATGTTTCACCAATTCTTTTAATTCATAGTCGTCCTCACTACACAGACTTAAAATTGCCACCCATGTTTTTTCTAGTTCATTATATTCCATTTGTTCAATTCGAAATATGGTACCTAGCATAAGAAGAAGTTCTTCTTCATCACGAAAGTAAGACAGATGTTTTATATTTGCGTAGGGTTTCGTATTCGTGATACGTGTGTCAAGATGAAACTCAAATAAAATACATGTTATTCCGTCTGTAGTAGGAGCAGCAGCTTGGGCAAAAAAACTGGCAACTGCTCTATCGAAACTTGTACTCAAGAAGCTTTGCATTGCAACAAATTGTCCAATATTTTCATGAAGATAATTGAGATCGGCAACAGAAATATTCTGACCACGATAGACGGTAATTATAGGATTTTCTAATTCATACGAAGTTAGATAAGTTTCGTGTGCGATGGCTAATTGTCGTTGTAGGTCGTTGATGAGAAAGCGTAGAGCAAAGAGAACTTTAAAGTCGAAATCCCGAAGAGCTTTGTTGAGAGTGTTGTAGAGAAATGTTGGTCGTGTGTACCATCGAATAGCTTCCTCGTCTCTGTAATTATTTTCAAGTTCTTGAATAATTCGTTCTTCAGCAGTACTGCCTTCATAAATATGTTTAAAATGGTCCAGTAGATCTTTTTTAGCTGATGAGTTTCGGTTAGATGTTATGTCTAGTAAAATATAAATTAAAACTTGAAAGTACATGAGCGCGGCGTTTCTTAAATCTCGTTCTTCTGATACATCAGTATTCTGTGTACTATAAATGTTCATAGCAATTGTATTAGCTGCAATTCGTTCGAAGCCATCCCTGCAAAATACCTTATTACAAGTTGGTTTGTAACTACGTCTAAGCTTACCTAGCTTCATCCTGCTGTTTATCGAAGCAAGTTATAGATGAAACTTTATGGACTCGTTGATCTGTACAAATAGCTGTAATTAGATCTTTTATTTGTGTAAATACGCCTTTGATCTAGAAGATAGGATAGGTTGAATAACTTGAGTGCATATAAGAAATGAGAACTTACCGTTTCATAGCCTTTGTTCCATTCTTTAGCAGCTTCTTTTTCGGGGTGATAAACGTAAATTGCCGACAAATGGGATAGATGATGAATAAGAGAAATAAAACAATGATTATAGGAGCCACATATAATCAGAACAATTTTCCGATCCTTGAAATTCATCAAATAGTCAACACATGCGTCTGAATTATCGAAGATCTTTAGATCAGGAATAATTTGTCTTATTGCTTTCTGGATGGCAAGATTTTCCTTGATGAATACAGTATTTTCATCGAAACAAGTGAGAATGTATTCATCTAAATTTCTAATAACACTTTGAAATCGTCGAACTGGTTGTTCCGAAGTAGTTTCAGCGATTTTAGAGCATTTGCTTATCATTTTTTCTTCTGTTTATTAATGTACTAGGTTATGAGAGGTAGTTTCTTTATTCCTCTTGTATACACTCACTCGAAACTAAATCCCGACTTGAAATTGAATACCATTCAAAAAGATAAAAATAAGACCAGAATAAAAAAAAAAGAAAGAATGTGAATGAGTATGTAAAAACATGTGCGCCGTCTCTCTCTAACATACGTAGTTTATAAAAACGTTCGATGAAAGTGGACGCCTTATGAAATACATTCTATTGTTGACTATTCTTTTCTCTTATATACTCACAATCAACAAGTGTTGCGATTTTTGTTTCTTTCGCATTGGCATCGAAAAAAAGCAAAACGTAGAATAGAATAAATTCTTACTTATTGATTTCTATTTGAGGGTGTGGGTGTGGGTGTGAATACTAAGTTAATCACCAACACCCAAGATCATTAATTAAAATTGTGTAAATTTCTGTTAGATAGATAAGATTTCATTAAAACAAAACAAAAAATTATACATAGATTTAACAAATATTCATTTAGCCACATGGCCGTTGTTTATACTGCAGAGCTCGTTGTTTATACTCTTCGGCGTATCTTAAATGTAGTGTTGCTTGCTCACGTAAATTGCTTTCTAGGTCCCTCCACAATCGTACTAGAAGATCGTCACCATGATCGAATATCATTAATTTATCACAATAATCCATTGCCCATTCTGCATACGTCGCAACTGATCCACAGAAAAGAAAAATTCCTAGAAGATTTGAACAATCATACACTTCTGGCACGACTAGTTTGGCAAGAGAACCCGAGACAATAAGATAAGTCGATTTGTTTGAATGAGATTTTATAAATTTAATACAATCATCAACATCAGTAAATATCTGAGCTTTACCAAGTTTAGTACGAAAACTACTTTCAGGATCTGACGCATTCGTATCAAGCCAAACAATTGTGTAATTCTCCATTATTGACTAATCACTTTATATTAATTCAACTAAATGCAAAGATATAATGTCTGTTGCATGATTTTTTTTCGTATATATAGACGAAAACGTTGGAAATAATTAATCATTCAAATGACATCATCGTGACACGTTGCGTAACTGCAGAGTAGGTGTTTTTCTCAGTGAAAGAATTGGAAAAAAATTATGCATAAGTATGATTCATATTTTTACCCAAGTTTTATTAACATGCGCATGCCCACGTCACCTTTGAAAATAATCTAATGGTAAATATTAGTCAGAAAAAATAATATCTTATCTTGAATATTTATGAAGTGACATATTCTCAAGCATCTTGAGAGTGTGGGTGTATGTAACTATTATGTTTATCAGACACCAACACCTTCACACCCACACCCACACTTCTTCTGCGATTTGGGCAGCTATAGTGCAGTTATACTAGAAATTACCATTTAATCTTTGCTTAGGATTGTAGGAGAGCACTACATTCCACTCCACTCCACTCCACTCATACTCTTCAACTGAAATCTATTCCTAAAAAGCAAACGTCAAGACTAGCAGATTGAATTTTTCTTGTCTGCGTGAGAAATGATGGATCAAGCCGTTTTTTAATTGACATTCGAAAACAATTTCACACGCAGTACTGTCATAGTGAAAATATATTGTCGGATGGTCAGTCGAAGTGAAAGTTCATTGACTTTAAACGATCAACCACAGAAGCGTACGTAAACTGGCTGATATCATGTGGCGACTTTTCCCAACGACGTCGAATTTCAGTCGAACTTATATCGATGAGATTTTTACGGTCATCATCCAACGGAACATAAATGATGTTGGATGATTCATCAAGTTTAGAGATATTCTGTTCGTCGCATTCTTTACGATAGATAACTGCGCACTTCACATATTTTTCTCTGGCCAAGCGTCTAACATCGGAACATTTGTTGAAATGGTCCAGACCGCAAACATAAATCACATATACTGGATTCTCGAGAAATCGGATAGAAGCCAAAAGAACTGAATTAAGATATTGGCGAAGTGCCTCCGTCGTTGGGCCAAAATCGACAAAACCGCTATGATATTCAACCTCAGCTCGAGACACACTAAGCCAATGTAATGTTTCCGTTTGGCGCTCATGTTCTTCTATCGCCAGTTCACAAAGATCACATCGATCACGACCTGGTATCGTTGCCTTGCCTAATTTACCACGTACGTATGCATCACTGAACATTAGTGACAATGAAATGGATGCTGATAAAATTAAGGAATCAAAACTTACTGCGTAGGAGAAAGATAACCTGCAAGTACATTCCATCGTGGACTGCTTTGTTCAAGATAGTTCTTCACTAGTTCTAAATTGTTGATATGAGAACGATGGATAGGATTCATCGAACCAGTTGTCAATAATACACAACTAGAATGAGTCAAAAAAATAATAGAATATATTTTTCGAATTCTTTTGAATCACACTTGTATGGATAAGTCCATGCTTGATATTCATCACATCGTTTCATCAGATTTTCAATTTTTGTATTTTTCTCATTGAAAAAACCTGGGACAATGTTATCTTTCCATTCGTTTGCGAAGTCGTCGTGTCGTGAGTCTATTTCTTTGTTTGAATGTATGGAAACGATTGATTGCGTATATGCTTCGTTGGCTTAGTAATACAAAACAAAACTAGTTAAATGAAAATCTTCCAAAGTGTAATGCTATTAATAGCATAATGAACTACGGATCAATTCTAAAGTGTGGGTATAAGTAATATAATTATCTTCAGCACCCATACCCTCAATAATGGTCTGGCTGTCTGACTGTTCCAAGGGTGTCATGCCTTTGGTAATCTTAGGTGAAGGAACGATCGACATTCTGTCTATATCGAAAAAGTGTTTCCCGTTGCATTGAAATATGGGAATTAAGTTTTCGGTAGTGACTAGGTCTTTCAACAGAATGGCGCGAAATTTCACTCGCATCATTTAACACAACAGTGGTGTATAGACGATTTTCTATCATTTATTGGCAAAGTTCATTTATTCTGTTTCACCTGTCACTACCATTTTTTATTAGCAAACTTTTGAATACATCGATACATTTATCAAATAAATATTTCACCTTTTTCTTGAAAAAAATATATTTCTGTATTGGCTTCACTCTTACCTGCTTTCAATGTTGATTTCTCGTTTGCATTTGTATCATGCTTTTTGCTCAGATGATTGGCATACTCTTGTACTTCACTCGACGTTAACGATTGCTTATCAATTGCCGCCCATAAATGCCTAATCGATTGCGAACGTTCATGTTCATATTTCATATCAAGTACTACATTAAAATTCATCTGAAAATACTGAGATGTTGTGTTATTTTCGCGGCCGTTTACAACGCAAAGCACAGGCACTTTCCGGTTGTAGACAGTAGAAACCATGAAACAAAACTTAGAATAAACTGTCTCGTTTGCAGTATCATTGTTTGTGATGAATAAAATTAAATGAATTCCATCAGTACCATATTCGTTCAATCGCTTCTGAATCAGTTGTTGCTGGTATTCACTGTTTGTATCATTATTCACTTTATTAAATATAGCGGTGTAAGCAAATAAATAAAGGCAGTCATTGTATTTGCATGGATTGAATTCTATAAAATCATATTGTGTATTGTTTGCTAGATGTTGTTCATGACTATTTGGATTTGTGAGTTGCTTTATAATTTTTGATCCTACATAATCAGTAGAATCGATGACAAAGATTCGTCGATACATATCTTGCGCTGCCACTAAATAAGAAAAAAATTCAGATTCATCAACAAAAATTAACACCTAGATGATGAGTATTTGAATGTCAGATAATAAGCTCTTGGCATAAATTTCTGCGAGAAAAAAGAAGGATCTTTTAAAGTTGCTTACCAAACGTTAAAAAGATTCTGTAGCAAGAACGCAAAGTCCCTAAGGAATCCATACTGCACTGAGGCTGTTGCGAGTATTTTTACGAAACTGTTATAGGTTTTGATATGTAACATAAAAGAGTTCTTCCTGTAGGTTCACCGAAAAAGACTTCTTTAGATATCGTAAAGCTCGTGTTTTTTAGGGTGAGGGTGTGAGTTTGAATATTTCCCTTGTATAATCAATCATATCAACACACCCACACCCCTAAACGTCACTCTGCTGCTATTACTGACAACGACTAAACGAAGTTCACTTCCTAGCTATTCTTTTCAGGCTGTATAAGATGTATGTTAAGATAATACTGACTCGATTATGAGACACTGATTTCTGCAGTAAATGACAAACGAAAAACAACGTACATGTCTGTTACTCTTATTCCGCGAAAAATTCACAATAATATTATGTTTGCTTTGTAACGAGCAACACATCAAGTAAACCACATCTTACTGCAATGTGCACAAGCATTTGCTGTTGTTATGGCGTCAACACACATCAAAACAACAAATATAATAATCGCGGAATGTTGTCAATGCAATAAAAACCTTGAGTAAGAACGAAAAAAACATTTCTTCGTATAAAAGTGTCGAATACAACGACATACTCTGCATTCGATCGAACGTCTCATCAACATAACAAGTAAGTGTTGATTTTTTAATCAAGACAGTGACTGTACAACACGAATCTTTGTATTTTGCTCTTTCAATATTGTGAAGGACTTCCTTCGATGATATGAAAAATCTGCTGTTTAGTAGAAGGCTTCTATATAAATATATACTACTTAATGGTTTACGCTATTTGGAACTTTGTTAAACGATGAACCTATTTTTGATTGACAATAAAACTGTGATGCATCACATTGAGTGCTGATACGGGTAACATATATATTAAAAAAGAGTCCATGAAACCCCTACCCATGTTTATTGCGCAAAACGTTCACGTTTTCGAATGAGTTATCTTGAGAGTGAGAATATTCTCTTCACTTCCATTCTTACCACGCTCGTCACATCTTTCGTTACGATTGCCCTCAGAGGGTCGAAAACGACAGTTCGACCGGTCCGCTCAGACCTGACCGGTCAAATATTATATCTGGCTAGTCGAGATCGATGTTCTTATCGTTTCTGCTAGATTATAGTTAAGACCATGTTTGTCATAAGTGACAGAATTATTTAAAAACTTCTTGAGGGTAAATGTGGGTGTGCGTTTGTTTGTTTATTATTCACACTCATACGCACACCCACTCACCCTAACGCAGGCTCATCCTCGGGAGATCTATTGTTTATAGAGACTATAACGATATCTAATGCGTCATATAAAAATATCATCTTTTCAGACAAACTACAACAAAATGCCACGATCTGTATCAGAGATTATAACAGATTTGTCAAACTTCAATCCGTCTGCAACCGACACGACCCATCGTCTATCACATGATTGTTATATGATAGTAGTTGGTTATCTGGAGGGTAATAATAAATTGAAAATGCTAAAGGATATGATCGACGCACGTGAAGAGTCCATCTCAGAAGGAAACGGAGCAACTGCTGCAAGTATCGGAATTATGGAATGCGAAGAAGTCGAAACGATTCTGGAAAATATTACATTGAAACATAGCACTGAGGAATTGAACGACGCACGTAAGGAACATTTCGTTTATGAAGATCATTTCAATCCCACTCTATGTGAATATATGGAAAATAGTGCATCTTTTGCAAAACTGAAAACAATATGCCGGAAATATGAAGCAGAGTCAAAAATAAATGTCGATAATGTAATGAAGGAGCATACGGATCGTGCTGATAGAACATACAAATTTTTTCTTGAAAAGGGTTTACCAGAAGACGAAGCTCGCGCCTCAGCATTCGCTATCGCATTTTATACTGGCTCGAGAAGCGAAGCATGCAGTCGAGGTGCCAGTCTTGTTGCTCGTCGTGCCAATGGCGTAGCTGTCGAGCAGAGAACCGTAGATGAAATGAAAGAAGCATCGATTATTTTGTATTATTTAGTTAAAGGTCTTTCGAATATCCCTTATTACTGGGGCTATGTTACGCGGGCTTGTAATCTCAAAGATCATGAACTGGCACTTTACACACCCGGTGCTTTAATTACATGGCTTCAGTTTAGTAGTTCAAAACGAGGCAAAGATGTTGCAACCGGTGGTTTTGAAAACCGCAATACTCAATTCAAAATCTATTCCCTCACAGGTCGTCGTATTAAATTCTTTTCCAACTATGATCATGAAGATGAAGTATTATTCTTACCTCATTCAACATTTCTTGTCTTCAAACATGTGACTAGTCATCATGGAATGCAACACACGATCTATATGCGACAAGTTGAATTGGGTCTATCAAAATGGTCAGTGCTTTGGGTTGACGATCGTATATTCGTTGAAAATTGGGAGAATAAGGCTCATATGGAATATGCAGCTGCAAAGGCACTGAATATGAATGTACACTTTATTCCAAAATCAACTACTGAATATGCGATTTCATTCCTAAAATCACCATTTGGACAGCGGCTGAAAAACAAAAATACATTTCGTATTGTTACCGATATGAATCGTGAAAATGAACGACCTGTACATAATGCAGGAGCACGTCTCATCAAAAAATTACGACAACTTGGGTTTCAGAATCAATGCCTAGTATTTACCAGTAACAAGCAGAAAGGAGACGAAATTATGAAACAGGAAATGACCGCCCAGGAGTTACAGAATACCATCGTGACAGTCAGTGCCGACGATCTAAGACGTTTCGTCAATTTTCAGTAAACCATAATGGCATTACAATTTCTATTCAATGACACAAGAAGTTAATATTGACATGATTAAAACTGACTTATCAGATGATATTTAAACTTTTGAAAATTGAAAAAACAAAAGAGTGAATAAAAACTAAGCTAGGGTGTGGGTTAGAGATGTGCAGGATAAGCATTTTTCATACTCTAACCCTACCCTATTAAAATTTGTCTTACCCTAACCCTACCCTAACCCCACCGTACCCTAACCCTACCCTACCCTACCCTACCCTACCCTATGGTACTTAAATCATTACCCTACCTTACCCTACCCTACTAATTGAAATTTTTTAATCAAAGTATGAGTACGTATGATAAATAATTTTTTTTCATTTTATTTTCAAATAATAATTGAGTACAAACAGTACATTGAACAAATGGCTCATAAACGTTATCCGAATTTTTTATTCTTAATAAACTTGACCAAAATTCACCGGAACAACTAGTTGGTGGCTCTTTTGTTGTGGTTAAAGTTCCTTCTTTGAGCTGACGAATTACTTCTCTTTTTTTGTTCAATGTGAGCTCGGAGAGATTTTGTTGACATATTCATACAGGTAAAAATATTTCATTTTTAAAAGAAAATTTAGTATTATAAATAATGAACAAAGGAACTTTTGTGAGAGAAAGTATATAAACAAGCATATATATTGTGATCTATCTTTTTATTTGTTTTCCTTTTATCCAGTCTATTTGTGCGTTTCTATTTTAAAGAAGGGTCGATGTGGGTATGGGTGTGGGTGTGGTTATTGTGTTCATTGCATACGCATACCACTCCTCAAATAAATAAGTGACATGATGACGATTTAGTACACATAATTTTTCAAATGACTTTGAAAACTTTTTTATTTGTCAATATTCGTTTTGCTTACAATTTTAATAGAAATTTTACAATGTATCTTTGAAAAAAAATCAAGTTTTTAATATTTGTTTGTGTTGAGATATTTATAAAATACTAAATAATTGTAATCATTCTTGTCGACGTGGCATGTTGCACAATTGTTATCGTTTGTCCTTTTCTTTTCTTTTTTCTCTATCGTCCGCAATTTTCTCTTCATTTCTTTTTCTTTACTTACGAACGAACGAACGAACGAACGGACGAGCGTATTATGTTTCTTAGTCGAATATAAAATGAATTATATAATATGTTAACTTATAAATAAATTTGTATTTCTTTTACACGAAATGTCTTCAACCAAACTTGAACATGTAATTATTGTAGGTGGGGGTCTTGGTGGTCTCGCGACTGCACTTAGTTTTCATTATTTATTTCCTCGTCATAATATAACAGCACCTCGAATTACAATCTACGAACGTGAATCGACTGAAAGTGGTCGTATTAATGAAGGTTATACAATCGCAATTCGAGGTGATCATGTTGGAGGTGGTGTCCAAGCATTAAAAACAATCAGTCAAGATTTATACAATGATATTCGGAATATGGCTGCACCTGAACGTGATAAAAATATAGCAATACAGTTTAGTTTTGGTATAAATTGTGATATAAATCCAATGCTTAAATTAAATACATCAGCAGAAGAAGATTCATTTCGTATTGCACGTTTTAAATTAAGAAATAGACTAGTTGAAGAATTAAAACATTTTGGTGAATCAAAAATTAAATTGGAATGGAATAGTCATGTGATTAAAGCTGATTATAATAAAGAGAAAAATAAAGTGGACGTGGAATTAAAAGATGGAAGAACAAATGAATGTGATTTATTGATAGGTGAGTAGTATTATCTAATTGAGTACAGAGATGTGCACGATTCACTTTAAAGTTTTTCAAACATACGGTAATTTCTTTTCTTTTTAGTTGCTGATGGTGCTCACTCATCTGTTCGTCGTTACATGTATCCTGAAGAAAAATTAAATTTTCAAAAATGCATCAGTTTAAGTTGTGTTACTACGATTGATGATGGTGAGAGTTTGCCAAGTCCAATAAGAACGAGTCCACTGGTTGGGATAACTGGAAAAGGTATTGGTATCTTTATGGCTACAATTGATGAAAAATCATTTTTCTGGGGTGTTATCTATCCATCTAATGAAGAGAGACCTCCACCATATAAAGGAAGTGTAATGACAAAAGATGAACAAGACGAATTTGTTAATGAAGTTTTAACTCGTACTAATGGATGTTTAAGCAATGAATTTCGTTCTTTCGTTCGAAAATGTGATCGAGAACGTATACTTATTCTTAACAGTCACGATAAATTTCCACACAAGAATCCAAGTAAAAAACATATCATTTTCATTGGTGACGCACTTCATCCAATGAATCCAACATCAGGTAATGGTGCAAATATGGCCATTATGGATGCTGTAGAATTCATTCAATTATTAATTAAACATCATGAAAAACAAGATAATTATCTAATTACTCGCTCAATTGATGAGTTTGATCGTGATCATGTACAACGTAGTACTGATGCAATTAAAATCAGTCATCGGAATATGGCTTCTGCAGTAGCAACAGGCCTGAAATTTCAACTTAATAAAATAATTATGAGAATAGTTGCTTTTGCTATAAACAATCCATTTCTGTTTAAAAGTTTATTAATCGGTTTTGTAAGTGTTGTCATTATGATTTTGATTTTATATGTAAAAAAATTCTTCTAAGTATCGTCATGGTGTGTGTGTGTGAAAGGAAAGTAGGACAATACTTTAAAAAGAAAATAAATTTAAAAATAGACGTTATTCTTTATGATAAATCACCAAGAATTTAGAGAGTAATATGATATTAATACCATCTTTGCACGTTTGTCCTGAAAAATCATATTCATCGATGTTGTTGGTGCATTTGATCAAGTTCTGTTTTTTCTTCTCATTTCTTCTTTAATGCTGTTTCTACTATGAACGTCATTATTCTTGAATCTGTTACACACGGAAATATAATTTATATGTACTGATTGAGCAATGATGTTACCCTTACGTTTAAAATTTGTAATCGGGAATAGTAAGCACATCTTTGTTTTGAATATGGACGTATATATCTGGCCATATATTACAATTGTTACTTATAACACAAGTGTTTAAATACTTGTGAGTATCACTTTTTCAGAGTCTTTACTGAAGACACTACCAACTATGATGTAGTTCATTTTTTTACTGACTAGATAATAATTAATTTTCAAAAAAACGGCTGCTATCAAATTCTGTATAATATAACATCAGTAAATTTCTAGAAAAGTTACTGATCGTATTTTTCGCATTATTTATAAGATGATAAGTAGAACGAAAGTTTTATAAAATAACAAACAACAGATCTCCCTTGAAATACACACTTTTTTCGAGTTGTATACTTTAGCAATTTAAGTTTTTTAAAAAGTACACCGTTTGACATAGATATTATTTTTAGAGCACATCTTCAAAGATGAAGATAAAAGAAAACACTTTTTAGCTCCGAAAAGAAAACTGGGTCTCTTTAAGTGTTTGGAAGTAGAATAGTGTTAACACTCAAGTTTTAATGTTGTATTTTATGTCATTTACTACTTGTAAAACAGTTATATAAATAATTGAGCTATATATTGTTTCAAGACGTCACCGATTCCATTAGTAAAAGAAAATAATATTTAGAGAAAGTATTTTCTAGAATACAAGCATTTTTATAATGTTAATTCGAGTAATAGTTTTTTTATTTGCACATCAATTATTCATATCGACAGAATCTATTGTTAAATACAAAAACGCTCAAATTATTGTTGGTATAAATTATCAACTTATGGATCAATTCTTTGTCGGTTCGCAAAATGAATGTGTATGTCAATGTTTCACCAACGAGAATTGTGTCACAGCTCTTTATATTGGAATCAATCAAACCTGTTCACTTATCTCTACAAAATTTAACCAGACGCAGTTGCAATCGGCAGCAATTACGATAAATGCTACCATTATAAGTTTCATAAACAGAACTACTCCAGGTAACTGAAAATAGGAAAGTGTATAGACTTTTATTCTCTTAAACATTCGTTCAATTCATTGAGTTTCACTCATGGACAGAATATTTTAGTCATTTTTTTTGTTATTAGATAATAACAATCCACCACCAATTATTCAATGGTCATTTAATGGTAATCTTAATGATACGTTCGGTGTTTACAATGGAATATCAACGAACGGCACTATCCAATATGTATCACCTAGCTACCGTGGGGATGGAATGGCTGTCTGCTTTGCTAACAAAAGTTATGCTCTCATTCCTTATTCACTTAAGCTTATTGGTACAAGTTTTACTATCTCGACATGGATTCAATTATTATCAAATGTTCCATTAAACTCATCGGAATTTGGAATATTTACTCATTGTGAGAGCATGACTAATAATAAATGTCTATATATGACAGTACGATCTGGGAAACTTCTCTTTTCTTTTTATATCAATAATTTTACAGGAAATTCTTCTCTTACAAACAATATTTGGTATCATGTAGCATATGTTTACGATCGAGTTGCACTTACACAGAGTGTCTATCTGAACGGACGACTCGATGGAATATTTTCATCTGCAGGTATTCTTCAAAGTAATGCAAGTCAAATGTGGATAGGTGCATCACCTTATACTTATATGTATCCTAATCCATTTGCTTATATGGATGAGATGATTTTTGTATCTCGTGTTAAAAATACAAGTGAAATTCTTGATGAAGCAACACTTGTAGCTTACTATAAATTTGACAATTCATTTCTTGATTCAGGTCCGAATAACATAACAAATAGTACTGGAACAAATGTGCAATTTAATGCCACTGGGCGAGTCAGTCAAGCTCTTCTCATTAACTCGAACAATTCTTTTTTTCAAACAACAAGTTTCTATTTTCTTGGCCAATCGAATTATTCGTATTCATTTTCTATCTGGATCTATCCTTTTGCAACCAATGGAACTATCATTCAGGTACTCTATCTTTCTTAAAGAGAATAAAATGCTTTTTTATGCTAAAGTTTTTACATTTGCAGCTACTTTCTGTCAACAACAATTGGTGGTCACCTATGCTCGGCTTCGACAATAGTAGCCATCTTATGACGCAGACATGGAGTGGTGCAATATTCTATAACGTAGCTTTGACGTCGTTTATTGTGCCATTGAATATATGGACTCATGTTGTAGCAACTTTTTCGACTACAAATGGTCTTCGTCTTTTTATTAATGGAACAATGGCTAACTCAACCAGTTCAACTCATAGTCATGCAGGCAGTGGAACATGGAACATCATATCTGTTGGTACATGTACTCCAGCAGCATGGTGTACAAATGCAGAAACTCGAATCATTCCGAAACAATTTCGAGGCAAAATTGATGAAATGAGAATTTATTCAAGAGAATTAACGGATGTTGAGATCCAAGCTTTAGCTAATATATAGTAAACTATATTAATATTTTTGTGCTGTTCTTGCTGTTTATAAGCTTTCCATAAAATATATGTAAAATCAGAAATACAACGTAATTTATAGACATCATAACTTGAATAACATCAGTCTACTCTCATACTATACATCGATTTTTTAATCAAATCACCTGAAAGTATAGGGATATGAATGTTTAATAAAGAAAGGGCAGTCACATCCACATCCTTAAAATGCTAGTTGCCACATTTCTTAACAGCTCTTATAAACTGCAATTGAATTCCGTTCCGTCGCAAATCTTCTATAACATCTGTGAAGGGTTTTCAATACCAACAAATACGTTTTCTTTCAGAAACAAGATGAGACCAAAGCCTCTTGAAGATTATGAGGTGTCTTTGGTACGAGCATACGTAAGTTACATCTTTTTAGCCCCAACGAGGCTGCGCTGGCAAGCTTTTGCAGTGCCTTTTATTCTCTTTATTTAAGTAGAAATGAAATTACAAAGAAATGAAGAGTAGAAGAAAAGTATATAATAAAATAACTGTTTTCGTCTTTTTCATTGAAATGTAAGTGACATCGTCTGTGAAGATGCACCGCACGTTGCATTTTTAAGACCACCTATCTCAGGCCGAGCACCTATACCAGGCAGACCACCTATACCAGGGAGCAAACCTATACCAGACACAGCACCCGCACGACCCAGGCCACCCAGACCACTTAGACCATCCAGATTACTCAAATTAGCTTTATTATTACATGGTCTTATACCGTAAGTGTTATTACATGAACATGCACTTCCTGATGTCCTGAGTTCCTGAACACCGCTACACCTATTAACTGTCCATGTATAGCCATTTGAAGCACCCGTATATGTACCATTAGTACGTAAAGCTGACCTAATAGGATTAGCTACAATCGGATCGATTACAGTTATACCAACTGGATCAGATGTGCTGTTTATGCGCATGCTAGAGTAGTTTGAACAAGTCAAATTAGCTAAAAATGCTGACCATACTGAGCATTGAGTTGATGAAGCTGTATCATTTGTAAAATACTGAGAATACGTTATTGTTTCACAGGTGACTATAAAAATATAAAGAAATGACTGAATAAGGAGAAACATAACACAGACATTTGATCGTTGTAGTCATAGCGCTGAAATCTAACAAAATTTTTATCGCAATCATACGGAAAGAATCTTTTTTAGCACTATATAAAGATAGTACTGTATTAAACCCCTTACGAACTACAATAATAAGGGTTTTATACGAACCATTTAGTACCGATTTTTTCACATTTATAACTCGAGACTTAATTGGCTACTTATAATCCTGTCATTTTATTCATATATTCTTATATAATCATAACTTTATACTTATAATTCTAAGTGATATTATTTGACCTGAACCACAGACTATCACAAAATAAATTGTTTTCATCGTAAAAACAATCAAATTCAAGCTGAATATGATTTCTAATAGATTCGATTTAGCGTCTATTCGATTATCAGTCAGTTGTCCATAGATAGCAAATCATCTACCTGATTTATTATTATTCAAATCTAGCTCTATAAAATCATCAAAAAGAGTGATCTATTTCAAAGTAGATACAGCATTCCGTTCATTGTTTATTTCTGCTAAACCAATCATAATGGTGCTCAGTTCACAAAATATAGAAAAGAACTAACCAACAGAGCAAACTAGTTTTTAGGTGAACTTTGATTAAAAATGAAAATTAAAGAGAAGAGAAAAATTCGTCAGTTACGGATAATTCTGTTTATGCTGTAGATTAGCTGAAACGTGAGTAAGTAGCACAGAACGAGGAAAAAAGGTAATTATGAATAATACGCGGTAGCTATCTCTAATTTCACCTTATTCATGTTAGATTTTTTTAAGTTGTTAAAATTTTTAATAAGAAACTGTAAAAGAGCAGAGGTCAACGAAGCGATGCTTATAGAGAGGCACAGCCAGAGCTTTATCCAAAATATGTATGGTTACGGAGTGTTCCCTAAAGCTATTGATGTAGGTGGATTAAGGGGAGACAACATTCGACGGTTACAAACTAAAATTTTAAAGTTAGCTATCCGAACTAATCATCTATTAGAAAACTATAAAATCACTATAAATCATCTAGCATAATACTGACTGATGGTGGTTAATAATGATCTTGTTGATGGTGATAATGTTGTTGTTGTTGTTGATGATGTTGATAATGATGATGGTGATGATGGTGATGGTGACGTTGTTGTCGACATTTTTGTTTTTATTATTGTTGTTATTTGTGTTACAGGTTTTTTTGTTGTCGTTGAGGATATAATTTCACTCTTCTTTCCGTTTGGCATAATTACATTTTCAAAAGATGCCTGGTTTAATTGATCCTCCGTTATTTTAGCTCCTGACAAATCACTGTTTGAAAAATGTGCACCTGTCAGATCTGAGTTTCCAAAATCTGCACCCGACAGATTTAC